TGCCTTGAGTTTGGCAAACTCAAAGCGGAGGTGTCGCTCCACACGCACGTCCACTTCCGCACCGATCTCTCTTTTAGTGTCGTCTGTGACGCTTTGGACTCTACCATCGGCTGTGCACTGCTGCGAGCAGAGGCCGAGGGGTTATACCGGGTGATCGAGTACAAATCTTACCAGCTTAAGGCTGTGGAGAAGAACTACAAAGTCCACGACAAGGAATTTATTGCGATCAAGCATGCACTTGATAAGTTCAGGGTGGTTAAGGGTGCACCTGCTGGGATCAAATCCGTTTGTGATCGACACAGATTACGCGTCACTACGCACTGCGACTCAGTCGCCTCGCCTCTCGCAGAGGATAGCCTGGTGATTCTCCTTCTTCGCAAAATATAATTTGGAGGTGAAGCTTAAGCCAGGAAAGCAGAATGCTTTGGCTGATGCGTTGCCAAGACTGTGACGTCGTCAGTGACTGATTTTATCCGCGCCGCATACGCCGATGATGGTATGTGTGTAGCGCTGCTACCGAGTCTAGGGATTACAGAGTTTGGAAACTTGGTCAATAAATTGTAGGCGCGTTGCGCCAACGGCTACAACGATATTCGCTGAATAACTGGTTGCTGCATTATAGCACCGATTCGACGGAAACACCACGAATTGTGGTTCCTCATGATGAGGATTTGAAGTACCGTATCTTCTATGCACACCACTGCAGTGGTCATCCCGGTCGTGAGCAGACGTACAGCTCTTTGAGTTGCCACTTCTGGTGGCTCAAGCTGTATAAACGGATGAGCACATATCTGCGCGCGTTTGGCACGATGACCCATCTTGCGCTATTGCCAGACACCATCGACTTTGTGGGTACAGCGACGCTATTTGTGGATCGTGTCTCTCGACAACATGGACTCCCGGAGTCAATTGTCTCTGATAGAGACCCGCGCTTCACTGGTTAGTGTTGTTCTACAAAGAGCTACGGCAGCCTCGTTGCAGATTTGAGGCACATATGTTTGCCTTTAATTCGACCCGGCCGTGCAATTCCGTGCCAATTGCCCAAAATTATCAAGTTCGAAGCATCACGCCGGGAATCTGCCACCTTTCTAGCGCATCGTTTGCCGTTCAAAAGTTACAACCTTCTTTAGCCACCCAGTGTCTGCTTTATACTCACGCCCCATAAGCTCCTTCTTATCGAATTGCCCAAAATCCTTGAAAAGATCTTTCGCCTTGATTAGTGACACAATCTTCACATTCTCGACAAACAACCCAATTAAAATTATGAAGCTGGCTGCAGGCTACTCAGCAGGGCTTAGAGCTACCGTGCCTTTGTCACCCGACCCCCTAAGCATCAGCAGACTTACGATAATCTAGTCGAAGGTGTCCAGATGCTTGGTCTTTGTTGTATTTTTCTCCACCGTGAATTCAAAGAGACTTCATATCATTGTGACACGGCAGTGCAAGTTTGTTTGGTGCAGAACTATCGCAGCGTTATCTACGCTGGGCACTGCCCCAACCGCAGACCGTACTCTGTTTGGCGCTGTAGTGTTCTCACGTATGTGTTAAAAATGATTGTTACCTCTCATCTGGCGCACGAGCTTTATTGTTTGTCGTACTGTTTCTCACACTGACGATTTTGATGTCATCGTCTTCCAGCATGCAGAAAAGGCATCTTAAAATCGAAGACATATACTTGCATGGCGTGCTCCCACGTGGACAAACTACGTGCGATTCCTATTCATTTGGAGACTAGAAATACTGATGGTATTCATTTTGGTGTGCAGTGTGTCGCACTTTCCTTTATCGACCCTTGAGACAATTAAGAGCTGTAGCTTTTCAAACATGAATGTTATGAGCTGACTTTTTGACATGAATGAATGAGTGTACCGCTCATGCACGGTCAAGTCACATGTTGAAACCGGAATTATGACCGGATGTGTGATCGATTGACCGGCAAGGATGGCAAGGATGGCAAGCATGAGGCCATTGGCTAACACCATAAAGCAGACGTTTAGACATTATGTGAAATACATTGAGCCTACTCACTTTAGCGTTTACCTCCTATGAACATTATTAATCGCAAGCTTTCCAATCACCCAAACACGATAAAGTACTATGTCGACCAGAAATTCCGAAGTCGTGCAAGATCCTTTCACTTAAATTGTAGCATGCGTATGACGTTTGCCCGGAAAGGGCTACGTGAGCTTGTAAGGTTGGTCATGATTACGAACGAGGTCACGGAGGCGTGGCTCGTGGATGACGTCAAGGCTCTTGACAGCATCTGTCAAGAAGTAATGCCGGAGTACAACGGTGGCTACTTTCCATTTTGTTTGAATCTGTCGATTGCCCAAAACCTAGAATCATCCTTAAAACATATAAAATGTCTGAAATATGTTTTTCGGAACTTTCCAATATCACGGCACCTTGTGAAAATGGCTGCTTTACTGAGACACGTTAAGGACATGAGTTTCGGTTATGAGCAGCATAAAACCACCACGACATTTAATGTGATAACGCAGCAGTCTTACATCAGAACAAAGCAGTTCGATAAATAAACATCGTTTTATTTGTGAGTGTGTTAATTAACGTTTTCGAGGAACTCGCTTTCAGATCAATAAGCTGTTTAAAGGTGCATATCTATGCTATGTTCTAAATAAACAATTAGCTCAAGAAGCTGGTTAATGGTGCATATCCAAGGATTGACTAGAGTCATCAGCACGCAATGCGTCAGCTTTTTTTTGTCACTTTGAAGAGAAGGCGCAGGGTCAAATAACATTCCGCATTAGTTTATTGAGCACGAACACTGAGGTCATCATAGCGTTAGAAAGTGCAGTGCTCCCTCACGTATTCAAATTGTTGCTTTGATTCGTTACATGACTCGGTATGATCTATTGTTCTTAACGCAAAGAAAATGCGGGACAGCTCACGTATGTTCAGCTCATCTCAAGGTACCGCCTCACTATACTGGATCTCACATTCTACTAGTAATTGAAGCAAGACATCCAGACTAGTGTGTACTAGAATTTAAGCTAACGCATCGTGGGAAACCAGTCTAGATAATTTAATTCAAGTACGTAAGATAACGGTAGGAAGCACTTTCTTAAATCAAAAGAATCTATCCATACGAATTAACAATCATAACCATCGTTACAACCAATTGTCTTTCCGACGACGTCATTTTGTAGATCATGAGATCGATCACATCTTTTAAACGTCAGGCAACGACAATAGCCACATGATTGATGTATCGGTCCCGCGTCGTCGTTTCTACTACCGTCAGCCCAATATATTTTTTTCTTTCCAATGATTTGTGCCATCTGTAAATTCTTGAAGCATAGAAGACTATAATTTTCCGATAATCCCTGGTTCAAGTGACGCATATATCATCTGCAGATACAGACCTTTAGCGTGCGATAGTAGCGTCTCCTTTTGACATCCGGGGTGGAGACTTTGTGCAGCGGGTGCTCGGAAACAACACGCGACCTATCCGATCTACTGTCTCTTTGAAGTTGTACAAAAAACACTAAGTCTTCCTATTTCTGGATATAAGAAAAATTCCAACGTACATGTTAAACTTTTGATATAAGGCGTTCACTAAGTGGGTATTTCCTATCCTAGTCGAGTCTGTCCTCGACGTCTGGGAAAAACTTTATATAGGTACACATTCGATGATTTGAATTCACGGCTACCGGAACTATGGTTCGATTGGCGGAGCTACAATGTGACAACATGTGATAGCTTATGTTGTGAGTTGGTAGTTAGTCTTGCAAAAAGTTGGTTTCTTTTACGATGACACGTCTGCGCTAGGACCAGAGCTTTTTTCATCATCGACCTTGATCTCATTACTCATTTAGCTCAAACAAAGTCACGAATATGGGTGCCGAAGCCATTACCAACACTAGTAGCGCCGCTGTCCTCGTTGTCGAGAACAACCTTAAGGTCTGCACACTTGTAGATAACATCGCCTTTCTGCGGCGAGAATTCATTGCTTACTTATCGTGCTGTGCATTTGTCGGTTCAGATTCCTCGCCATATTGCTGTTATTATCGATGGAAACCGCCGGTATGGCAAGGATAAGTACGGCTCAAGCACTCGTGGTCATGCAGATGGCACGAAGACTGTCTTGAAGTTTACGGACTGGTGTATCGACGCCGGCGTTCAGGCTCTTACAGTCTTTGCTTTCTCTACAGGTGAGTTGATGCTTTTGAAAATTATGCTGCATCTTTTGATGCTGATGCAAACTTGTTATTTAGAAAATTGGAAGCGGGAGAAAGCAGAGGTTGATGCGTTGATGAAATTAGTTGATGGCTTCATTCATGATATTCTCGGCGAGGCGCTTACACGTAACATCCGAGTACGTGTGTTGGCTTCGGACAGCCGTCGACTACCAGATTTCCTCATGAAGTCAGTTAAAGAGGCTGAGGCGAAGACTCAGCATTGCAAGGCGTTTTCTCTCAATCTTTGTGTTAGGTACGCCATGCCGATTCTTGTAAAAAAGTATCTTATCTCATCTTGTTATTGTTCACTTGATAGTTATGGTGCTCGGGATGAAATCGTAGGAGCCTGCAAGAAAATTGCTGCTGAAGTAGCTCAGGGCAAGACAAGCGTTGTCGACATAGACGAAGATCTGCTCAGTCATTACATGCTTACTGCGTACGTCTAGTTTTTCGTATACACCTGAGATAAGTGAGCTTACCATTGTCAAATGGTCCTAGTGGTCTGCCGGATCCAGACATTTTGATTCGAACATCTGGCGAGCTTCGTATCAGTAATTTCTTGCTCTTTCAAATTGCGTACGCTGAGCTTATTTTTATGAACAAGTATTGGCCCGAGGTAACGCAAGACGACCTTCACGATATAATTATCGAGTTCAATCGCCGAAAGCGCCGATTCGGCAAGTGATGATAATCGTCCGAGTTAAGCATGTTACTATTAGTATGTATCTAATATTGAATCATATGATCATGTCAGTTAAACGCAAGTTCTCAAACGTCTATTAGCTTTTTAACTAAGTCAAGTGTTGTTCGTCGTATTGTTCCTATTTACATTGAACACCACGCGATGAATTTCTCCTCCTTTAGTGTTGACATAACTTTCCCTATCAGTTGGAATCCCTAACGGGTTTTCAAGCAACGCATCGAAGGTATAAAGCCCTGACATTTCATACGTCTCTATCATGTACGCAAACAATTCCTTCACATCTGTCTGAACGTAAATGGGAGTACCATTTGGCAAAAGATTGGCCATACCTACCACAAATTCCTCATTCACTAGCCGCCGCTTGATATGTCGCTTCTTCATCCATGGGTCAGGATGAAAGATAGAGACACTTTTCACAGGGCCTGGTAATGATCGTAGCATCACCGCTAGGTGTACATTCATATTGGCATGTACGAATGCCAAATTGCGAAGCCCTCGTTGCACAGCCTCTTGCTCCGCCTCTTGCAGCACATTGCGACGAATCTCGACACCTACAAAGTTCCACTTCGATGCCCGAGATCTTGCCACGTCCATCAAATATCTTCCTCGAGCACAGCCAATATCCAGGTGAATAGGAAGTGAGGAATCTGCAAAGCATTGAGTCCAATCAGGAAACTGCACTGGTTGACGATAGAACATTTTAAGTGGATTGACATGTTGGCGAAACCGCTTGACACCCGACGGCGAGATGCTCGAAGTCGAGAAAGTCGATGTCCTAGTATAATAACATATTGAAGTCGAAGTGAATGAGAGTGAGAACTTGCGTTTGCAAGCTTTCAACGGAGGGAGCGCCACGCGCGCGTATCGTAGCTCTCGTATCATTAATTTTCTTTTAATACGTATGGGATAATTGATTGGCTTTGACAATATACATACACTACGCTTGTTCAAAGAAATGACCGTACAGTAATCTCGCAATGCCTATAAAGCTCGAAGACACACGGTTATCCTGATCTCAATCAGTACGTCACAATAATCAGCAACTCATAAATTTGTCATTTTTTCGGATGGATTAATGGATGAAGTTGACTGTGGCAATTCACACGTTAATAGACGGTTGGATACCGTTTTAAGGACGGGATCAACTAAATACAATCGTACAAAAACAATATTGTACAATTGTACTTGATTCGTATTGCAATTCTGTGTAATTCTGGGGTTTCTTGTCACATGAATGAAGCAAAAATAAAGTTGTTTTTATTAGATGAAACTCGTTAATATAGCTCCTGAAAATGTAGCGTTAATATAGCTCCTGAAAATGTAGCGTTTAACTGTCTCGATTCCTGCAACGAAGTAGTTGTGCAGTTTGCATAGAAACTTGAGTCCGTGTGCACCTACATGGAGCGAAGTTAAAAGCCTTTGAGGTAATCATGCCAGTTATCTTCTCTGCTGTTTCAATAATACATGTATTTGTGCTTAATGCTCCATAGACAAAGATTGAATATGTGTTATGTAAGATTTTTACGATGAAGTTATCTCTAATTTCTGACGTGCGACAGCTCATGTGTTCTCAACTCTTCTTTTAAAATATCATCTTTTTGATTTCACAATTACACCAACGTTTGAACCAAATGTGATTGCAGTACTTGCCCGTGACAGGGCCGCCATTTGCCCTTTGAGCACTGCCGCTGAAAGTTAACCCAACCAACGCTGGCTCCTGTGATTCTCTCAATTGTGGTCGTACGTCGTCTTTCTTCAAATGTCACGACATTTGTCTGGTGCTTTTCACGAGCCAATCTCGGACTTATAGCATAAGATTTGTCATCGTCCTGTCTGACTTGAGATAACCCCCCCGTTTTAGAACTGCGTCGCTGCTCTGGATCAGAAAGTAGGTAGCTTTAGAAAATAATAGAGACGCTGCTTTGACTGTAACATAGCTCTTCACTCCAGACTGTCTAGGTAGAGCGGGATCACGGTATGGCTTCAGTAAAACAGTGGATATGTCCGTTTTCTTTTGAAGTATCGAGAGTATAACTGCAGCGGAGCTGCCGTAGCTCTTTGCTTAGAGGAAGCTAACTAAGATCACCGACATTATGTTCTATACCAGAACCAGTCCGAGTATAGCGGATCGCAATCCACTACCTCCGAGAGTACCCAGATATCTTTACCAAGGCAAATACACTCTTCCGTTCAAAATTGAAACTGTGTTGATTTGCTTTAAATTTTAATAAGAAGTAAAACTCAATTAAATACTGGCATTCCCGCCACGTAGTGGCTTCTTGTAACGGTGTCGGGTGGGTGCGCATCCTTGTCGAGAAGTTTAGCGTATACGCAAGGCCTCGCTTGGCCACGACCTCAAAAGGTTCGATAAATCGTGGACGGAGTTTTGTCTTAAAGACAACAAAAACTGCATGTTTAGGAAGGGTTTGAGCATATAATAAACCAGGTCTTCGATCTCAAAGCTGTCAACATTTCTTCTGCTTCTTGAAGCGTGGGTCTCTATCAGAATCAGTTAATTACGGCAGTTTATGTTGTCGAAAGGCACGATCCACAATCAGCGTCGCTGCACTCACACTATCGAAGGTGTCCGGCACAGCTGCAAGATGAGCCATCTTGATCAAACGGCTCACAAAGACCACCACACCCGTGTTGCCCGCCGAGTCCATCGGCTGGCCAAATACAAAGTCAAT